GCCCGGGCCGCCGGCGACGCTGCGGCCACCTCGCTCTGCGCGCGACTCGGCGCCGTACCCGCGCGGCGCCGGCTCCGCCTGCCTCCTCGCCCCACCCCCCGTTAACCCCTACGATGCCGCGCAGGCAGACGGAAGGAGAGGATGGTGATTCAAGGGGACCCCATTTGCGTCCCAACCTGCGTGAGCGCTGGCGAGGGGCCTGACCCCTTGGTCACCTTTGTGGGCTCCCTGCAGAACTTAGTACGGGTTTTCAGCTCTCTCTCTGCGACTCCAAAGCGGTCCCAGTGCCAAGTAGATTCCCCGAAACTGGGTCACGACCTGTGGGGACTTTGGGCAGGGAGATCTACAGCCTTGCAGTCTCCGGAGACCTGGAGTTAGTATAGGGTGGTGGTCCGGAGAAGTCCTGGGAGGGGCGTCCAGGGGAAGGGAGATATTGCAAAGGCCAAGGCGGGAAGAATGCAGATTTGGGGAATAAGAGCAGAAGGAGATGGGGCCTGAGAAACGCATCCCAGAAGAGCCTCAAAGAATTCCCCCCAGGGACCTGAATGTGGCCCTGCAAACCGCGGAAGGGAGGCCGCTGGTGGCACAACCAAGGGCAAAGGAGGCGGGGCATTCCTGGGGTGGGGAGTGGGCAAGGTGGCCTCTCTCTGCCAGGGACTCCTGTGGAGCCCACTCTGGGAAACTGAAGGGACACATCCTTGTATACTGTGGATGTTGTAAGGTGGGAGGAGTGGGCTAGCCCACACACACACACACACACACACACACACACACACACACACACACGCCTGCATATACATACCAGGAATAGGTGTTGGCTGGCTGCAGGTACATCTTTATACTGTACCCAGCCTCCTCCATGTTGGGCAGGCTATGCAGAGTCTAGAGAGGAGGTCCCTGGCTTCGTTGTTGGCACTGTCCTCAGGCCAACCTGGCTAAGACAGGGCACCAGCCTGGCCTGTGTCTTTGATTTCCTAGGATTGATTTTGTTGGTTTTTATTAGGCTGGAGACACAATAGTTGAGGCAGGCACCATTCTACTTCGTAAGTCATCTAGAAGGTCAGGGGATGGACTGAAGTTCCCACAAGCATATGTGCATACCCCACACACATGCACACGCACCTGTGCAAACAGAAAGTCCCAGAGGGATTCTGACAAGCCAGCTCCCTACCCTGCGCCATTCAATTGCTGTTATTACCAGCAATAAGTGGATGCTGGCCTCAGTGGCCTCATAGAAGCAGTGTTTCTTGCTTGCAGGCATCCTTGCTGAGTCTGGGTGGTCAGTTCAAGGACAGGGAAGGACATGATGCTGTACTCCAAGAAGGAAGAAGGCCAGTGACATCATTAGGGTTGGGGGCACTCCTTCCTTACTAAATCATACAGAATTCTTGTTATTGTCTTTGCTAGGTGAAGTCTAGTGGCTTCTGACACATAGCAACCCATGCACAACAGACCCTAACCCTGCCCAGTCCTGCGACATTCTCACAATCATTTAAGCCCTTCATTGGAGCCACCGTGCTAACCTATCTTGTTGAGGATCTTCCTCTACTTGAACAAGCATTTAAAAATTTTTACTCTACCATAAAAAACTGATAATAAACAAAATAATTAGTAATATCAAGGATCAATATTAATCATGGACAAAACAAGCAAAACCTTGGCTACGCTGTAGGGAAGAGCAGACGAGCTCATAAGGTTCTCAAGGCTGTGCTCATGAAAGTACTCTGCCTCGAAAGGAATAGCGAAAAGCATCACCATAGAAAGCTTGTAAGTCCGTCTTCTGCCTATAACTGATTGGAATACCTAAAATGGGGCTACACCGTGCCTAGTGAAGGAGGCTTCCTACAGAGCCTCTGCAATACATAAGACTATAGGTGGAAGCCTGAACCACATCCAGATCTTCAGAGATGGGAAATTCCTACTTGAAAGGACAAGCAGACCAACCTAGAGGGGCTAGAAGAACAGAAGATACTTCTTGAAAGAAAGACCTACAGGAAAAATATAAAACAACATAGGCAGACCGACTGTTACTACAAGAA